CCAATCCGCCTGTCGATCTCCCGCTCCCTTCTTCCCTCATTCGTGAACAAGATCCCAAGATCTCATATTATACTGAAATAAAACTTAAAAATCAGTTAACTTTTTAATTTTTTTCAGTGGCCCTAATCTTCTTCCGTATCGTATAGATCTTTCTTTTTATTAACTATTATTTACTCTGCGGTTTTCTAACGCAACTGTAGATGTAGATATATGTTTAACGTGAAGATGCTGTTTTGAATTTTATTCTCCTAATGATAAATGCTTAGTAAACAAATTGAATTACACCAGAGCTGTTTCTAATTTTACATTTTCCATCCTAGTGGGGAAGGTCGGCTCCAAGAACAAAGAGGATGCTCCTTATGAACTGGAGAGCCAATTTGTTCTAAGGCTTCCTTCGGTGAGACCGTTGTTTATTAGAAAATATATTGAATTTATGGTATATTTTGTTATTGAAGTGTTACAAATTCCCTTTCTATTTTTTTTTTTTCAGGAGTATGCCTCAACAGTAAGAAGGATAGCACAGTCCAGCAGTATGAACATGAAAGACAGACTGACAATCGAGCTGCACTGTAAGCTGCCTCATCAGTCGTTATGTTACTGTGTTTGAAGTGACCCGTTTAACCTCTCTATTAGACTACTGAACATGTTTAATCTAATCATAACATTTCTCCTACTTAACGTCTTGCGGATTGGAGGTTTACATGCAGCCATCGTGGGAAGGAATATTTGGTTTTGGCATTTTAAAGGATGCATTTGGACCATTATTTTTAAAAGCAGTTTGCGTTCCAGGTTTAATTCTCGGCCGGGCATCTTTCACATAGAGTTTGCATGTTCTCCCTGTGAATGCGTGGGTTCTCTTCGGGTACTCCAGCTTCCTCCCACAGTCCAAAAACATGACTGTTAGGTTAATTGGCTTCTCTCCTTATGTGTGAGTGTGTGCGTGAATGGTCCTTTGTCCTGTGTGTCTCTGTGTTACCCTGCAACGGACTGGCGACCTGTCCAGGGTGTACCCCGCCTCTCGCCTGTAGACAGCTGGAGATAGGCACCAGCACCCCTCCTGACCCCAGCAGGGATGAAGCATGACAGAAAATGGATGGATGGAGTTTTTACACGACATATGTGTTGTTGTAAACGTATATAATAGAAATCTTCAAAACATCTTAACTAGAATTAGAAGATTCCTCCTGTAGTCATTTACAAACACCTGGCATTATTTGTACTGGATGTTAGACAATTTTTGATAAAAAGCTGTTAAAATTGGTTTTGTTTTCTACCATTTAGATAGCTTTAAAGCACGGCCCATAAATATTCAGTCAGGCTGTGGTTGGGCTAAGGATAGTCTACTTTGATTTTTTTTCCAGAATATGCTTTAGTTTGTTTGACATTGTTGTGTGCTTTTAAGTACCTGGAATTCCTGTCCTCTTAATTGAGATGCTTTCCACTAGTGTGACTGGCAGTGGTTTTGGTCTGAACAAAGCAGAACAGCATTAAGCCTCCAGAGGAATCCATTTCCTCAACCCTATCAGACAAATCTGGACTATAGTTACAATGCAGGTTAATGGAAGGACACCAACCACTTATAATAAACTTTACCAGTGGTCATCAAATGAAGGACCAACAAATGTCTCAGGATTATGACACAATCTCACTTATTACTTTGAGAAATATTAAAAAAATGTCCCAATATAAAGTTGTTTTTTATATATCATTCTGTATAAATATATTTTTGACTCTATATGTACTAGAAAAAATGTTTATGCATTGTATTTTTTTTTAATTAATTTAAAGCTTTTTTGATTCCAGTAAGACGAAAGCAGTTCAAATGTATCTTTCAAAGTCTAAAATTCAAACTTCATATTTTGTATAATGATGTTTTAACTAAAAGGTTAAAACATTTATTTATTTATTTTTTACAAACTTCTTTTTGAGATTTGATCATGTGTTTCAGTGTTTTCTCTGTCTTTGCATCAGATTTTTTCTGTCTGTCCTTTGTCACATTTATTTGTTATAGACGTTTGTTTGTGCGAATTCAATTTAGTTTTGAAAATTCATGGTTAAATTTTGGGTATCAAAAATGTTAATTTGTTCATTTTTAGAATTAGCTTGCATAGTTTCACAGCAATCCATTAAAATCATCCAATATGTTGCGATATATTTGTGTGTCTACACATTTTTATTTTAAGTTAGGAGAGTTAATATATATATTATATATATTAAGTTAATTTATATATATTGTTGCCTCAGCCATCTAAATAGAGGTTAGCAAAAAACGAAGACTCTTTAATCACTTGCTTGTTTTGGTCTCTCTTTTTTTTTTAGCGGATGGTCGTCATGGCATAGTGAGGGTAGATCGTGTCCCTCTGGCCTGTAAATTGGTGGACCTGCCTTGCATGATCGAGTCTCTCAAAACAGTCGACAAGAAAACGTTTTACAAGACAGCTGATGTTTGCCAGGTAAACCTTGAACATTACATTATTTTTTTTTTTCATATCTAATATTCCAGTAGGGCATCACTGTAAAGTGGAAATTAAACAATAAATTATTTTCTAATTTCCTTTCATTTCTAATAAAACGCAGGTAACCGAGTCAAGCGTTTGTATTCATCCTTTCCAACACAACAGACAGGAAAACGTTGAAAACTATTTCAATCTTCAAACTCTACACAAGCTTTAAACTGTTTGCAGTGATTTGAATATTGCTGTAAAAAGAAGATCCCCATCTGAGCTTCATTTGCTATTAAAAACACAGTTAGGGAAGATGCTAAGTCTATATATGTGCTGAGCATTTATATTCCTGCAGTCAAAGTCCTTATTTATTTATCATAAAATGCAAAGGAGACTTTTCAGATTTTTAGTAAAAAAAAAAAAAATCTTAGAGTATATATTTTTTTTCTTAACTATACATATTGGTCTGTTTGGAACCATCATTCAATACAGTTAGTGGTTTTCATGTAAGAAAATATGGTAAAATAACTTCATAATAATCAATTTATAGTTAACTGGAGTATAGAGACTCTAAAACATGTCTTTAGATGACAGAGCAACTCACTTAGAGCAGCAATTAAATTTAAATTTAAACATTTTGCTTTTAAACGAGAAGTCCGGTCAACAGGGAATAACAAATGGGTCATTATTTATACCTCAAACTTATACGTTCGTTGTGACTTAATTATTTTAGTGTTCGCGATCACTTAGACTGGGACCGGCCAATTTTATCAAAATCAGGGTTCCCGCAGATCCTTAAAAAGTCTTAAAATTAATTGTATTCTTCAATATAAAATGAAGGTCTTAATTGGTATTAAAATGTCTTAAGTCAGTCTTTCATAGGTCTTAAAATTGTTACCACATCATGAACAGAGTTTTATTTTTGTAATCCATATCAAAGAATTCAATAAATGGCAGTATTTTTTTTTTACATTTACCGAACCGCTCGCTGTAACCATTATTGGTTCCTTCCCGATAGCGGAACCAAATAAAAAGGATATTGCAGCCAGACCTTGGAATGATGTGTCAGTAACTTTTTATCTGGACAACATGGGGAAGTTTTAAATTCAATGAAAAATTGGCTCTCCGTCCAGGAGTTGTCTGCATGGCTAAAACCACTACCAGGGAAGGGAGATGAAGCACGATGGGAATCAAGGTAGTGGAGACACATGTGCGAAGCGTCAAACTCAAAGCGTCAAACTCAAGTTATGGAGAAGCAGCAGGTATTTCTCCATCCTGTTCCACCCTTGTCTCTGCAACGCCTCCACAGCATCTCTCACATCACCAACAGCGCCAGTAGAACCATATCTCAGGAAAATGTTTGGCGGTATGCCACTATTGAAAGTAGGGGGATTGAGTAGGGAACAAAACAAAGTTAATTCAGTTCAGTAGTTGTTAAAAATATATCCGTTATTTGTTTGTTTTTAGCTTTCTTCCTATATGGAAAGTTTTTAAAAAATTGAAACATATCTACTGGGCCAGAAAGTAATGGTTTATGTTAAAATAATCATTTGGGGTAAATTTGTCGCTAACAGGTTTTACTTGTGTTTATTGACAAGTTGGTCTTAAATTTTTTATTTTAAGTAGACCTCAATCCTGACATTTTCTGGCATCAATGTCACGGTGTGGTTTGACAAAGGCCATTCTCCCCATTTTACAAGCAAAATCAATGGGAACTACGAGACTGCATCTGCAATCAAGCTATAGTTAAATTGACAGTGCCCACGTGCATGGCAGTTGGATGTTGTAATAACTTGGTTAAAAGTGAAAAAACATTAGTTATTTCACCTTTTCGATTCATAATCCACCACGGGTTCATTGTTGGATTGCCAACTTGAAGAGGGAGGATTTGCCATCGAACTTCTGGCCAGAGAAAGAACATGTCATTAATATGTTACTCTCTGCTTCGCATAGTGCACTGGCCTTCACCATCATGGATAATAGCGTGTTTTGGCAAACACCAGATACAGCACTGGGACTTGTTCAACAGCCGATAACGCACCGTGACGTCACAAACCGTTAGGTGGCAGCAGCGCTCTATGACAAACATGGATTTCTCCGGTTAAGCACATTCAAATGAAATTTCTCTTAATTAAAAACTCTTATGATTTATTAAAAAGTATGTAATGATTTCATACTTAAAGTACTCTCAGTTTGTATTCTGAATGTGACCGGACTTTTCCTTTAAGGTAAATAAAATGTTTTCGTCTGTCAATATGCTCTATCCAGAGCTCCTCAATTGAAAAAATTTCACATAGTTTAATTTCAGAAAAAAATTTCTTTAAGGAACCAATCTGATTATTAATTGATTAATCTAAAAAATAATTGACAGATTAATTGATCAGCAAAATAATAGTTGCAGCCCTAGTTTAAATAGTATCTTCATGTGTAATGATTCCCGGCTTTTTCCCAACTGCTAGATGCTGGTATGCACACTAGATGGAGACCTTTACCCTCCTCTGGAGGAGCCAACTGGCACTGACCCAAAGACCAAAAAGAAAGACAAAGACAAGGACAAGAAATTTGTCTGGAATCATGGCAGTAAGTAGTTATCTTTGCATAGCTTGTTTTTTGTTTTTTACTAATGTTGCTAGAAATGTCTTGTATGAACAGACTGAGCCTCTGCAGCCGCGAATCTGATTTGCTTATGCTAACTTAGTCTTTTCTTGTCTACAGTCACCTGCCCTCTGAAGAACACACGTAAGCGAAGATTTCGGAAGACTGCGAAAAAGAAGGTTTCAACATGTTTTTTTTCTTCCCTCTGGTGCTCCCCATCTGCTTGTTTAGCATATTGTTTGATGACCCATCTATTTTCTGCCCTCCCCTCCAACAAGACATTTAAATTTTATAAAACAGGCACTGTGGTGAAAGTGAAAACTAAGATTTACATATAAATAACGCATTTTATCTTAGTTTTCCCCAAAAGGCATAAAAAAAAGCTGTTTCACAATAGCTTTGATCAAAGGGAGGGTGAGCGAGTCTGAGCACTGCACTTCTGCTTTGTCTTCTGAATGGATTGTCCTGAAGGTGTGGAGCAAAGCCATATTGATTAGGCTCCTTCTGTTTCAGCCGCTAATGCCTTTCCTGGCAGGCAGCCAGCTGATACCTTCTCCTTTTTGTGGTTCTGTGTATGTGCATGTGGGTCCACAAGTTACCAGATCCTTTTCTCTTTTTTTTCCCTCTTTCTCTTGTTGCAGTACATCGAATCTCCTGATGTGGAAAAGGAAGTGAAGAGATTGCTGAGCACTGACGCAGAGGCTGTTAGTGTTCGTATCCTTTTTAGACACCCACGGTACAAACAGTCTGTGCATCTATTAGAAAAACACGCTTTTAATCAATTTCTAGGAAAAACATTGATTTTTGGGGTTTCCCCCAAGATGTTTATGGAAGAAAAACTCTTGCACAGATTAATGACAAAATGATTATGCATTTATTTATATAATAATAATCCTTAGATCCTGTGATTACACTGATGCATATTTCACCTCATTTACTCAATTAAAAAGTAAAATTTCTGCAACGTTTGTTTTTATTCTGCTAAATTCGTACAGTTTATGCACTGGGGCTCCCTTTTGCATGGATTACTGCATGAGTGCAGCGTGGTCATCCATTTTGCTTTACTGGCAACGTTCAGATGATATGCATGTTGGGTCTACAATTGCTTACTCTTGGCCTAAACCTCATCAGATTTTGATTGGTTTAGGTCAGGTGAGAAGGCTGTAATGAAGCAGATATTGAAATGTTTGGTGGTTTTAGCAGATGCCAATACTGCTAGGCAAATAAGATCATCATCTCCAAAAACCTTGTAAACAAGCGAGCATAAAGAGCCGATAAATGTCCCTAGTAAGTAGCTGCAGTGACCTTGCTGGCTACGTGGATCCTGTCAGTCACTGTTAGACAACTAGAATCCAGCCATTTTTATTATTATCATGTTAACCTTAGTTTAGTATTTCTGAATTAAGTATAATTTATATTGGCCGCTTATCAAATTCCGCTTTCCTGAGAATACAAAGTTGAAATTCCTTTAATGTTCACAAAAAAGCAAAATTAGCATCTAATAAACACTTAGAATTAGTTGCATTGTTTAACTTGTTTATAATTTTTTTTGGCTGAATTACAGATCTAGATGAAGTGTGTTTGAATAGTGATGTAATTTATTAAGTAGGACTAATTAAAGATGGATTATGGAGTTTTTAACGATACTGCCACCTGTGGCCAAAACACAGAGCTGCAGCACTCTTCTGCTCCTTCTCTTAGATCGTGCTCATACTGAACAAGGTGTTTTTATTTAATTTTTTGTATGCCTTATGCAAACAAACATCACATTCCCCGAACAGTCCTGACGTCCAACCTGAAGTAAATTTAGGAAAAAGACAATTTTAAAGATATTTTTCAGTAAAAACTTACACAATGTCTGTGTACGCTCCACCATTAATCTTTCTTCCAGTTTTACTCCAGCTGCCCTTATTATAGCTCAGTCAGCAGCCATGCCCGGTGTGTCAAAGGGCCCCTTCTTTTGTTTGAATATAATTTTGAGCTGTGACTATACAGCCATGGCGTTTATTTCATCATTTCAGTTTGACCCGATAGTTAAGCGGACCATGCTTCTTGTCTCTGATGTGACAAATGTGTATTTGCTTGAGAGCAACCCAGACTTTATTTTCCCTGTTACATTTATCCAAAACCCAGCTGGATATCCAGCCTCCCGCCCAGCTCACCTCACCTGGCTCTGTGTAGAGCCTTCATTGGAAGAGATGATGTGAAAAGAAGCTTTTAGATTCCTGACGAAGCCCTGAACTTGCCTGACAGAATAAGAGCAAAGGGAGGCCGGCTACTCGCTGTGAGCTAATTGAGACAGACTGTTCATTATCATTGCTTAGATGAGCACAGTCATACTAAATCCTGTTTACGGTTTTGTTGTTTGCATACATCCTTATGCATAAAAACAATACATGGATGTCAAAATGGGGACACAAGTTCATAGTTGTGCTGTAAACGCACAATGCAGCTATTTACCATTATAGAAATCTTACAATTTTGGAGCACGCTGAGCAAGGGATGTTGTGCTTAAGCTAACCGGGCCAAGACCATGGAGGACTTTTGATTTAGTGTTTGATAAAGCAGTTCTTAGTAGGTTTGGCCATATGTTTTGGATTATTATCCTCTTCAAAGGCCCAGTTTACAGGTTTCTAAGGTCACTTTTTTTTCTTTTCTTACTTTTGTTGGAGAGGTTATAAAGAGTCCATGATGTACCCCGACCAAGAGCTTTTGGAGGACAACTGGTTCCACAGTATCATAGATTCTTCACCATATTTCACAGATCAACACAAAGGCTGTGCGACATGTTCAAGGATAAATCACGGTTTTAGCTTTTTATACATGATATTATGAAAAATAGCTGTCCTATTTTAAATATTGAAACAAGTAACTGAAGAAAAAAGCAAAATCTGAATTGTAATCCCATTTAAATGTAGGTATTAACCTTTAAAAATGCATCAACTCTTCCACCAATATTGACTAGCTTGTCTACGAGAGGTTGAGAGGATAAATTTGGTCCTCTGCCTACAACCCCCAAAATGCCATGCAGCTCAGGAATGGAGTTCAGGGACATTGTAGAACACAGGCAGTCATAGATTAGTAATTAGAAATAAGTAATTAGATGCTTCTGGATGTAAAAAAAAAATTGATAAAATTACATTTGTTGTTAGGTGTAACATTCAGTATATGAAAATAATGATTTAATTATCATAATTTTAAAACATTTTTGCTTGTCAAGCTAATTTTCTGAAATTAAAGAATTATTTTTTTTTTAAATGTCAGTTTGAAAATACCCAAATGCAGTAGAAGAGTAATTTATTTTCAAGGATTTTCTTTAGTAACCTTTGATGAGGTTCATTGTTAACCAGAGGGACTAGTCATGTTATTATAACACTGTCAATAAATAAAATCTACCCTAACTCAGCATGTTCAGGATGGGAGCTGATAGCAGAGGATGAGTCCAAAGAAGCAGAGCAGCATAGCTCTCTGCCCAATTTGGACTCTTCTCCCGGTACCTCAGGACACAAGATGGGTCACGGATCCTCAGGTAAACTGAAATGTATAGTTTGTATGTGCTGTGAACAGGCATTTATGGGTTAAATTTAAACGTTTGTTCGATAACAAAGAACTCAACACTTTTTAATAGTAGCCTCAGGCAAAAAATTATTTCCCCCACAGGGTTGCCATGGAGATATAATAGTTTGCAGATCCTCTGCTGTGCAAAAGAGATGACTTTGCATGCTCTGCATATGTTATTCAAAAATGTTTTATCTTTCCTTATCTTGACGATGCAAAAAAATAAAAAAAACTGTTTTCTGTGTGGTGTCAGAATAAAATGGGTTAATAGAATTAAACACATCTACTGTAAAAGGGTGTTATAGATCATTAATTGTTGAGGAAATTATGCCAACAATAATTAATATTAGAGAATCAAGACAAATTGTTTTAAATATTTGAATTCCCTCATTACAAATGTCCAACAACCAAGATTTTGATGATGAAAGGACACATTCTATAGAGGCATTAATAACACACCCAAAATTCATTATATTTTTGTGTGAGGGACGGGGGGCATTGATATATGCTGTCTGTTTTTTTTATGAATCTTTTCCAAGCCTGCACATTAAATTACTTCTGCAATTTTAATTTCATGCTCTGATTTTTAAGTCTACAAAATTGTTATTGGACTTTTAAGATGACACAATAGCAGGGTGTTAAACATAGTAATTTGGGACTAAACACATAAAGCAGAAACACAAAAAAGAATTCAGAACATTATGGTAACCCTACAAACAATCATACTTGTATAGAAACTTCAATAAAGCTACATGAAATAAGAAAAGTACATGAGAATGATCGACTCACTCTAAAAGTACAAAATGGATGTTGCCTGAGACAGGAAAATAAAATTAATAGATATAAGCACTGAAAAGGTGAATGGTCAACTAGCCTTTTAAGCTCTATCTGTGATAACATTGCATGAGGTGAGCTACAGAGCTGTTGGAGCTCCACACCAGGCCTCACTAGTTAAAAACAACTGTCTGTAATGTTAACTCTTCTCTATTTTAAGTTTTTAGCTCTTAGGTTCCAGCATTTTTCTGTTTTGTCTCATTCTCTGTGATTAATATAATAATGCAATTCTCCCTGTTCAGTTCCACATGATGAACTGAGGGAGATCTTCAATGACATCAGCAGCTCCAGCGAGGACGAGGAGGATGAAGGAGACCGACACGACGACGAGGACCTGAATATCATGGACACTGAGGAGGATCTGGTGCGACAGCTCCAAGACAAGCTGAACGAGTCGGACTCTGCTCAGAATGAAAGCGACAGAAACAACCAGATAGGTGAGAATAATGAGCAAAGCATCACTGGTTTCTTTCTTTATGATGAGATCACAGCATCACTTTAAACTTTGGATGGTGTCCTCTACTAGACATGCTTTACATGAACTTTATTAAAGTTTAAAGATGTACAGAAAAGCCCAAGGATGATCACAGATGAAAGCTCAGATTAGTTAGACGCCTCATATGAATTGCAGTGCAGACTGTTTAATTTAAATATATTCACATTCAAACAACCTCCATACCTAACTGAATGAAGCAATAGCCGCCTTAAATTATGCAATCTTTCACTCTGGGCTTGCAAGTCCCACCTCGGGGTAAATGTTCCGCCTCTTAGCCAACGCAGATTTTAATGTTCCAGTCCTAGCTGTCACAGTTACAAGGTTGGACTTTGGAAGAAACTTTGACGTTAGATTAAATCAGATCCCCCTCAGGTACTTGTCAAAAATGATGTAAAAAAATAAACTGAGCCAAGTATTTGAACTTTTAACATGATCAGATCTTTTTAGGTCAGACATCACACGCTCAGTTAAATAAGTAGCCCCTCTTTTCCTTAAATACACATGCTGTGCCCCTTAACCACTGGGATGAACACACGGACGGCGCTCAGCTAACCAGCCTGACAGGTGTGGTATCTCAGCACGCAGCTCTGGCAGCTGTCCGGTCTGATGGCACACTGCCTCCTTATCTGCATATCCAAAGCTGTCAGTCAGCACTACTGGTCAGCTTCACTGTCCAAGCAGAGCTGCTCCCCAGTTTGTTACTGGCTAGCCAGGAATATAATCCTCAGCAGGGATGCTGCTTAGGCTTCTGCTTAAAATACAGAAATAGATGGATACAATTAGTTAGTTTGATACAGTTGATTCAGTTTAATAGGAGAATTAAACCTGCATTGAACTGCTTTGGTTTCCTCCGTGTTTGCAAATCCTATATTAAACTAGTTTCTATTAGCTACAGTTTATTTTAACTATAATTTTCTGGTAAAGCAGACGGAGGTCTATATCTTATCCCCAAGGTTGACCCTACAAAAATATAGCTTCACTACACAGGAAATCAAAACACATCTTTTGAGCTATACTGACACATGAACCAACATAAATTTTTTGCAGTTATGGAATACCAGGTACAGATTAACAACGTTAAGGCCAAGCTTCAGGAAACACGGGCCCGGAAGAAGCAACAGGAAGAGCTCATCATGAAAGTGGAAAACCAGGCCCTGAAGGTAAACAGGAAGTTTACACTTTTTTTCTCCCCCTCTTGCAGTAATTCCAGTCTGTTTATAACATTGTGTTGCACCCAGGGTGCTGGCATTGGCGCCACACCTAATTGCATCCATCCAACCATATTTTCCTTCTTTGTAAAATCATTTATTTATTCACTAAATGATTTATATTTCCCATTTTCTTGATTTATACTTAAATTGTATTCATTAAGAGCAAAGTGAAACCACAGTCAAATTCCTTTTCATGTGCTCTAATGTGGTTAAACTGATGCTAATACTTTTCTGGTCACATTGTCTCTATGTGGCAAACCTCCAAGTTTTAGGGTGTGGCCACCCAAGCTTTATTAATCCTAAATGAATGTTCAAATTGAAGAGAGAGAACCTGGCAGGAACCTCTGAACCTATATTTTTAATTGGATCAATGTCTTTTCTTTGACTGGGCTATCCCAGCACATATGATTGGAACAGCTGTTTGTTTAGGGTTGTTGCCCCCCAGAAAGAATACCCCAAACTAATCTGAAGTCCTTTGCAACATCTGTTTATTTGATTCATTTTGTAGCCCCATCCTATCATCCTTGCCCTGCAGAAGAAAAGCCTCCCTCTGAATTATGCTGCCCATCACCAATCTTTCCCTGCATAGACGTTTTGTTTAGGGTGCAGCAGTGTTGGCTTTCCATCAAATATGCATTTTGAAGCCCCGTGCTTACAAAAGTGTTTGAGAAGAGCTGCATCTCAAAGTTGCTGGACAGTAGCTCTCGAGGACTGCAGATTGACACCTCTGCTCTAACACTGCAGCCTAACTCTGAGTTAAGCCTCTTCACAACTTTATCCCTGAGCTGTCAGCTTGGTTCCTTGTATTTTGGATGTGGTGTAGCCATCTGGGCTCCAACATGTTTTATGTTTTTAACTGTAAAATATTCTTCATGTATTTTATGGTATCCTTGAAGGCTGCTACTGGTTCTAGCTGCACCACAAGCCAGCAAAAGAAGAAAATTACCTTTCCACTTTTCCTTATTGAAAACTTTACACGTAGAACATGACCAGAGATGGGTCTCTTTTATGTTGCCATTTAGAGCTCTCATTTCCTAGTGTTTTGGGAGCGTCTCAGGCTCATCACTAGTTGTTATTATCACAGTCGCACGGAAAGGTCAGCTGTCTCTGACTGGCATTCCAAGTGGCCTTTCTGTCACAGATAAGATAGTGACATGAGCAGCCCGGGCAGACACGCATTTAAAGCCATCACAGCTTAATGAGGCTCAGCATGTCGACTCATACAAATCTTGTTTGTCTCTCGCCCCTCACAGAATCGCTTCCAAGCCTTGCTGGATGAGATCATTCAGCAGGAGGAGCGGGAGATGGAGCAGGTAAGTACCTGTTTTGTAATGAGACATGATGAGTTCATGCTGTGAGCTTTTTACAGCTTTCAGCACTAAATACCATCCATGCAGATGAATCTTAATTCCTAACAGTAGCTCAAATCCACTCAGGTAAAATTTAATTTGTCAGTGCTTTTTGATGCTATGACATAATAGCTGCCTGCCATCATGGATCGTCATTATGCATTGACAAAAAGAGTGAATGTAATGTTATGTTAAGTGTTAATTATCGTCTACTTTCACTACAGTTTAATTCGGTCGCTGTTGGCTCTTAAAATAAAAGCATTTATTTTGTCCCCAAACAGCTGGCCTCCCTTCAGGAGCAGTTGGACTCCCTGATAGAGAAGTAACCAGCAGGGGGCAGTCTCACATCATCTTCAGCCGCATGTCATCGGAGAATGGAAAAGAGGATGATATTGGGTCTTTTATTAGCCAACTTGCATTGTCATTCTTAACCTGTCGTTTTTATGTTTCCCATCTGCAGCATTTTGATTAGTGTAACAATGATGAATAATTTAGGATTTTTACGCTAGTCACTGCATTATGGATGGGCATTTCTGATGTTTTTGAGGCTTTCGTTTTTCATTTTACAATAAAAGCAGAGCCTTGGTCAAGTGTTACTTGAGTTTTCTTTTTAAATTCCTATGTAATGAATAAAAAGGTTATAAAACCATGTAATGTCTTGATTTTAATGAGCATGTTCAGATTCAAATAGGAAGAATGTTTTCCATTTTTGTTGGTACTACTACACCATTTAAGTAAAACTAAACCTCTTTGGTGAGATTTAAATGCAAAATATTTCTTATATACAGATTGAGGATCAATGAAACTCACAGTAATGGATCAAATGAGTGACTGGTTCAGGTTTGGATATAGCTGAGGGTGCTAATAGAGTCACACTTTATTGAGTTGTTTCACACCAAAAATATGTGGAGTTACTCCATTATTCATACCTGCTGTTTTTGTTTAGCAGGCAAGCTGGTAAAAGATTTTAATTCCTCCTCATGAATAAAACATGTAATGAAACCTGAAGAAAACCAAAAGGCCTCACAGGTGTCCTTCATAAATTTCTTTATACTGGCTGGTATTTTCTTGTCTTTAACACCTATCTATCAGAAAAAAAAACATGGTATAGCTAGGAAACAAGAAGTTTGGTCATCCTTGATAGTTCTGTTTAAGCAGGTAAACTTAACAACCTTTTTTTGCCAATCAGAACAGATTCCTCCGCATTACTGGTAATAGCTGATAAACATTTTAAAAATATTTACTCTGTGATGTTGTACAATTAAAGTAAAATAATTTACATGTTATTCATTTAAGGTAAGCGATAGACCAGTAGGGCATTTTCTGGGTGTTTCTGGTTTTTAAGAATCTTTCCAAATATGTGTTTAAAAAAAGTTTAGAAATCATTATGTAAACAATTTGAGGAATATAATGTTTATGAGTCCTATTGTTATTCATATGGCTGAACGTTTTTGTCAATTTCTCTATTGTGAGATAAACTTCATTTATTCAATTCATGTGATATTTTGCTTAATTATAAAAAGAAGTGGGTCAGAGGTTAAGTTATTTTGTTATATTCTTAACTGGCTAAAAAGGAGGGTTTCACAGTTAAGTGGAAAAATTTGATTTGACTGGTTGGTCATGGACAGAAAGCTTGGCCAGTTCTGATATCTGGTTGATTCATTGTTCCCTTTACAGAAATAAATAGGTAAATGAAAGAAGCTCATTTAATTTGGCCAATAGCTGCTTATAATTTGTTTGGCAAAAAAAAAAAAAATGAGGTATTTTCAGTCTTAGTGGTTAACTCAAAAGTATTTATGCTACACCTTAACATTAAAACTACAATGCCTATTAAAGTAAATCAGTCACAAAAAAAAGCTCAGCAACATAACTGAATCAAAAATATTTTTTATATTCAATTCAGTTTATATAGCACCAATTCACAACACGTCATCTCAAGGCACACACAGACAATTGAACTAGATCATACAGTTAAACTGATTCAAAGTTTTCAATTTAAGGAAAAACAGCTGATTGCATCGAATCATTGTCTGAAAAGCAATGTCGTGACAGTGGAGAGGAAAACTCCCTTTTAACAGGCAGAAAGCTCATGCAGAACTAGGCTCTGTCAGCGGTCATCTGCTCAGACCGACTGGCGTTCAAGGAGACAGAAGCAGAGATACAAAAGGTAACTTTCAATCAGCTCCGCATCCAGGACACATTTAGCCAGGAAGACGAGCTCCAAGCCAGCTCCCTCTCAGAGGATGAAGGTACTTCTATATATATATATATATATATATATATATATATATATATATATATA